TTCCAGATTACAGGAAACATTTCACAACAGAGACAGTTTTCTGGACAGAACATTGACAAAAGACCATGGATGAAGTGGGTATGATTAGCCTCTCATAGTCTGAGGAAGGGAGGCAATTACAGTAAACCGCAAGTTATAAGTACGAATAAAGTAAAATATTCCATCGCCATATTTATAATTTCCAACAATAGAAAACTTGGACCAGACCAATTGCACGAATTCCTCTAATATTAGTCGAAATGTCAATGGTGCCCCCACGGTTGGATTCACATATTCTAGGAGAGCTTGTTCCATCTATTTGCACCTAGTGAATGTGGATGGTATGGGCACGTCATCGGGTACCGATACCAGAAGAAGAATGGAGTCAGGTATAGCGAACTAGACTGAAGGGGTCTACAAGGAGAGGTGACCGAATGAGGTGAAGAGGAGCATACGTTCGAAGTTGGACTTGGAGTACACGCCGTGTGGTTGGATTGCGACACGTAATCTCTAATGAAGAGCAAGTGTTAGCACAGTAACTCATCGAACTGATTAGTACTAAAGCGGACGCAGATAAAAGCTGGAGAGCAATCCAACAAGAATAAATTAGTCCCAAACCCTCCGCATTCTTTTATCATGATACCAATAGACGAATACACGCATTATCGCGTAAGATGTGTCACCTGCTTTGAATGGAGGAAGATGGAAGTCTGCACCACACGCTGTTCCTTCTAAAGATCGCGATTTGATCTGGTGTTCGTCTCCATGCCTCCATTTCGCCGTCCTAGTGCTATCTGGTATTAGAGCTTTATACTTTATTGATAGATCATCGGTGTGTATGTTTGCAAACGTCTTCCGTTCTAGTGAGCACACTCCCACTTTAATCTCTCATTTCGTTTGAATATGCCTCATGTGTATCCGGCCACCGGTTAGTCTAGGGACAGATGTAGACTGTTACCCCGGGTATGTTTAACTAAACAAATATAAGTAATTTGTGATTCACAGCAATAAGACGAAAGTTAGCAAATGCTTAACTTCGTATTGTCTCCTCAGTACCATTAACAACAACTGATAGGCCATGATATACCCAGCTGGTGGTGTGGCAGAACACCAGTCACTGGCCGATTGATGTTAAACACCATGGGCAAGCATTTATCAACTTTTCCGAGCATATACTTATAAGTACTAGTACCATCATGTGGGTTATAATACTGAATGAGTTTCCTGAATTCTGTTTTGCTTATGAATGGGTCCATTCGATCTAGTGTTGAATGATCAATACAGATGTCCACTGCTTATGGTGGGAGTCGGTGGAGTAGCGTTGAACAACCACGAATAATTTTCGACAGCGGAATTAAATATTTGCGAAGAATACTCCTTGCGACAAATCTCTTCAAGCCTTTACAGTTATAAAATGTAAGGTTAGCACACAAAGAGCTGCTGAAGCATAAAGAGGACTTAGTGGTATCACGACAGTCAGAAATTCAAACGTTTTGAACGATAAAGTCCTCGATCATCTTAGGTGACTGAGCATGTGTTGGTTGATCGGTGGAATGCCAAGTGCATCATCCGGTCGCTGTCAGCATACGAAGTGATAGCTGTTGGGAAACTAATTACGGCCAAGGTAGAAGAAACCATTGCAACAAAGCACTATGTTTGCATAGCTGTTTGTGCTCTAAGGTTCCATTTTATACTTTTAAATACCTGAAAAAATTTGTCTAAAAGAATACTTTTTGCAAAATTGAGTTCTTGCATTTCCATGGTTATAATTTACGAATTAAATATTTATTTGCTCAGCTTAAGATGCGACTGCGCCCATGAAGAGTCAGTAGTTACATAGTGTACATCACCGTCTTCGTGGACATTCAGTATAAAGAGTTGGGTTGCGCAACGGAACAGTCAATAGTGCACATAAGTCATCATTGAGGAAGTTTAGATGACAAGCTTTTCCGTGTCCACTCAAATTCATAAGACGTGAACACAATGGTCAATAGTATATTACGAAGAAAAAAGCCGAAGGTTGACAAGTCCGGCCGGGTGATCGGTTAGGGGTGAGCAAAATAAAAGCAACAATGGGAATAGGAAATAGTGAACAATCGCAACTTGCGAACTTGCCGGTTACGATGTTTGAGCAGTCCACACTTGGTTTTACGTATTATCCATGGTCATCGTCTGTGATTTTCAGGAAAAAGTGGAGGTGCGTTGAGGTGTATTTGTATTCCTGCTGTTTGTATGGGTCGTATGGCCTTCGTGGTATGGTATACTACGCCCAGTGCACCTCAGACACGTGCTTTGCACACGGCTAGTTTGGGGGTTGAAATAACTGCTTCTGAGACAGCATTCCATGCGTGATAAACACGTATCGAGAAGAAGATTTTAGCACTCCAACCGATTGTATTGTTCTGCAATTTGAGATGACCTCACAATTTGTCGTCGTGATTCAGCTTCAACAGGTAATGACACGGGTGGTTAGGATTGTTTAAAATTTGATAAAACATGATTAGGTCCCCACGCAAACGCCGATAACATCCACTGAAAATGCCTAACATTCTGAGGCATCTTTTAGTTGGTGGTCTGAGTGTACGCTGAGCTCGGCAGTTTGGCTGCAAACGTTTCCTCACCACTTAAAGTGACATCGTCAGTGCGCGTTTATGTAGCAAAGCGGCACGGTACGAAGCCTCAATGGGTGTGCGTGCTCGATCTTCTAGCCATCAGTCTGCGTTTGGATTGTTCGATGGGCACAAGACCATCGAAATCGATCTCTGATATTTGCAAAAGAAACCATGATCGAATTACTTCGAAACCAACCGAGCACGATAGGAAACTTCAAGCAGAAGAGCATATGGAAACCCTTGGACTTCTGCATGACTACTTATTTTTACTTTGATTGGCAAGTCTACCAACAACTGAAAAACGCTCATGGGATCGCCCAGCTCAGGACTTATTGCAGAGGCTGTGATTCAAAAACTGGAGAGTATCACAATACCGTCAAACAAATCAAAATTATGGATCCGGTACGGGGACGACACGTTTGTCATCATCAAACGCGACTCCATACAACATTGCCAATGAGCTAATAAACAACCCATTCCAGGATATCGAGTTTACGATTGAACTCGCAAAAGGCAACCAATTACCATTCTTAAATGTACTGATACACAGAAACACTGACGGAACGGTTCAAACATGTGTATAACGAAAGAACACCTACACAGAACAAAGATAAAACTACAACTGCAACCATCCACTGAACCACAAGTAAAGTTGCATTCAAAGCCTTTCTGGAGGGCCGAAACACATTGCAGCACGACGGAATTGCGGGTGAAGGAAGAGAACCATATATACCGGGTATTGCAAAACAACGCGTCTCCAAGAATCTACATCAGAAGAAGCCTAAAAAAGAAGAGTGCATGAATGACAGCGAGAAAACCTATATACAAGGGGAGCGCTTCCTTACATCAAGAACAAGTCTGAACTAACGTCGAGATTGCTACGACCACATGGCATCTTGGTAGCCCACAAACCAACCAGTACTTTGCGAAGATTACTTTCAAAACCGAAGGACAAAGTCAAACAAGGCAGTCAGAATGCTGTCATCTAAGAAATTAACTGTATATAGTGTGATAAACACTACATCGGGCAAACTGGAAGGCAATTTTCAACATAGATCACCGAACACATAATGGCCATACGGCGGCATGACCCCCATTCAGTGGTTTCCTTGCATGAAGTCCAGGAAGACCACCACTTCGACCTAGAGAACGTAAAGTTCCTAGCCCGTGGAAATTCGAGACAAGCTAGAGAATTCTTGCAAGTATGGTATTCTACAGACAATTCAATAAACCGACACGTTGAAATAGGTGCTATATATGCAGCGCTACGGAAGAAAGATCACGGAATTAGTGGAATAAATCTTACGGAACAGAACGCCGGACAAATGCGTCAAAAGACGACGACAACCGAAGAGGCAGACGCGCGTACGCTGCAATGCAAGAACCAACGATTTTTTCGAAGTTCATGTGCCCGTCGAACGATCCAAACTCAGACTGATGGCTAGAAGATCGATCACGCACACTCACTGACGCATCGTACCGCGCCGCTCCGAACAACTTGAACAACTGAACAACTTGAGCTACCAATCTTTGCGATTTTATCACATGGCAATACTCGTAGGATAAGTGATGCAAGCACTCACCAATATGGTTTGCCCTCTGATTGTCCCACTTTTATCTCTGAGGCCGGCACAATGCGCTACGATGGACACAACTGAGTGTCGATAGGGCTTGCAAGAAACATACGCGTTAAAAATAAATGAAGCTGCGCACATTAAAAGTGGTAATCGCAGGGTGTATTATTACTTACGTCCGAACCTAAGACCGGCTGCGCTCACGTGCTGACGTAGGCCGGCACGCGGATTTGCCAACTGTCCAATGGCGCAATTTGCTTTGCCGAACATCTCGGCAGGGGAGAGATGGGCCACAGAGGCGGACCTGTGTGTCTACGATCGCATGGCACAGCAAGGGAACCGAGCCGTTCGGCTATGAGAAGGAAGTGTTAACAAAACACCGAAGCCGCACTGGACGTGTCATGATTCGCTCGATTACTACCCCCGCTTCTGCCAGAGTCACCACAATGTTTGTAACTAACGCTATGTTTACTCATTTTGCAACCATGACCATATAACCACCGGATGAAGAACAGGTCGATCTGTACATTGTAGTACTCATGGCTTGCAATCGAAACGGTGGAAACTGTCCTTCTGTTCTTAAGGCGTCATTGCCTGCACTTAGAAATCTCCCCTCTCCATGTTCCTGTGCATTACCGGACACCGCTACCAAGTCACCCACGCATCTGTTAGATGCGTATTCGAGGTGTCAAAACAGAACCATTGACCCAAGCCTACTTCAACCGAGGGGGAGATGTGTACACTGATCCCCAGGTTGAGGATACCACTTATTTCTGAGACATTAGGGTGCGTACGCCCTATGTTGGACTGATCTCCCACCAAGGGAAGCATTTTTATGCATACCAGCGATTCCGACTTCAGTTGCTGTGGTTTGCTTATTTTGTTTTACCTTTCACCTCTTCAGGCCATGATTGAACGCAACGATCCGAAACTGAAGTACGTCAACGATGGAGCCGCTATTCGTAACCCGTTCGCAGTGGACCGTCGAGTTCAATTGGCCTATCTGACTGCCCTATTGTGTGAGTCAACTATGCACGCTTACTTGTTGAGTCTAATCTGTTAAGGAGTAACAGTGTGGCCTCTTTTCGGTCTACTTGGTTGCCGATTGGTATAGGACGTCTGCTTTGTAGTCCAGGGGACACAGGTTTAAATCCTCGAAGGTACGGGCGACATTGCAGCACCATCTCACACCACGCGACATGGTCACGTGGCAGCGAAGAGTCAATACTGTGCTACAGACGCAATGCTGACAGCTTTGTTTGAACAGCGTGTCAAATTCGGGGGTGGATAACCTTGTGGTGAGAAATTCTTCCTTTACAATTGCAACTGATGCAATGTTCGGTACAGTTAGCCGATTAGATAGTGGATTGCTACACATACGCCGTGATCGCTTGAATTTCGATAGATTTAAAGCAAAATGCCTCAGTCGGCCTTGCTGCAGCTTGGTGAAACAATAAGTTAGTTCTGGAGTGAATACCTACCTAGGCCTGGTAACCTCGATGAAGACCAGAACTTGTATCATTGAGCGTGATTGGCTACTATGAGTAAAGTAACAGGCGTTTTCAGCAGGATCAACTTGTCAATTAAGTAAGTGTTTATTGTCAGCATGGAGCTGGAAACTGTCACATGACAGGAATGCCCATGGAATAGCTACCGTGCCGGAATTCTGCGATGAGGGAAGTCAACATTATTTGGCATCATGAGAGGAGATCATACGGCGAAAAGCAGTGGATTGGTGGGAACTCCGTTTCGTTAACCGATCGCCGGTTGTCAGTTAGCTGACCCAGATGAAACTAATCAGAACTGGAATCGGCGCATCAGACTGGTGTTTTACTATGTTTTAATGAAGCAGAGAATCAGCGCTATCAATCGGACTTCGCGTTGTCCGTAGCTAGGGTAGGAACAGAAAGTTGGAGCATTTCGATGTTTCTATTAGCTGTGAAGCCCAGGAAAAAAGCAACAAAACGCTCACATTAATCACAGCCAAATCGACCACTTCAGAATCAGTCTGCGTATAGATCAATCAGATGTGAATTCTCTGGCTTCCGTCCTTGCAATCAAACGCTCACTGGATTGGAATCGAGTAGTACTTGCGGGTGAAAATGACGGCGTCAAAGTGGATCCCATACACTTAATCTTTAAGCTCCTCCCTTTTCCTTCCCGTAGCTACCAAAAATCTTGATTTAATGTGAGGAGAGATAATTTTTCAACCGTTATCAAAGCCGAAGATGAACGGAAAGCCATATGTTCCGTTTTGACATCCGTGGGGCGGAGGTGCGAAGCTAACTTGCGTCATTCCCTACCAAACAGTTGCTATGACAATCGTTGTGTGGACGCTTCTTAGAGTCGTTCGCCAACATTTCATGCTGTGAAAACGTTAACAGAAGCGGCACATAGTTATCATGAGTAATCAACATGACCAATTGCTCCACCCCCAGGGAATGTTCCCAGCGTGTACCTTTCGCGGTTGGGAACAAACGCTGCACATTAACAAGAGGACACATGTGTGGAACTGTAGTCGCCCCAGATGGTCAACTTCGGCGGCCGTATCCCTGGGGGCACAAAAGATGTGCTGACTAAATGAAGAAAGTCCCATGAGCATATACTCAGCATCATTCTTTGCGTGTTCCAAGTAGTAGGACTAAACGCGGATGGAAGGTTCATCCCCTGATTCAGATGTAGATGATTGTTAGATCATTTTCATGATTTTTCGTCTTTTATTATCCCATTTATCATGATAGCAAGGGTTGTTAAGGGGGCTAAGTTCACCATACGTTGGTGTCCGGCCAGTAGCAGCCGCGTCTAGTTTCGCCACCAGAAACCGGCTACGTACAGTAAACATCCATTTACCCGCAAAAGCGTTTCTGGCCTTTGGATATCTAATCTGGAGGTGATAAGCCTCTTTAACTCCTGAGATTTACTAGTTATGAAATCTTGAGGAGAATATCATCCGAGAAGTCGCCGATTTGACAGGTGAATAAAGGTATTGAAGTCAACGGAGCTTGTGAGGCAAACAAGTCTTGTCCAGTGAGCTATAGTCGCTTCCGCCTTGAATACATGCTAGTGACCTTAACTTGGATCGGGGGAAATGCTGCACACGATCCGGTTTGGATTAGCGAACACGCAAGTGTAATTTCGTGAACGTAGTTCGTAATGTGCTGATGTCACATGACGTGACAGGTATTCACGGGCGCTGCAGATGTACAACAATCACAGCACAACGCATATATCTGACAGGCGGATTAATAGATTTATCCTCAATTCGTTCCTACAGGTGTCAGAACAGCAGACGGTGGGTATGCGTGCAAGGGTTGCGACCGGACAACCGCTCGTCTGCGTCCGATGCAACAGCATTTGCTATCGCACAGCGCCAGTAAATTCAATCTGTGTGTCCGATGCCTCAAGGGATTCAATGACAAATACGACATGAAGCGACACACCAGAAAACACACTTGTGAGTTACACTGCTGTTGTTTGTGTTGCTGTTGTTATGGGGCGCTTTGTATTAGTATAGTATCTGTTGAATTCCTATACATAATATGGTAGTAGTAAATACCTAAGTAAAATAAACACAAATTTTACTTTCGATCGTGCCTGTAAAGGCACGATCATATTGAGATAACAGAGTGAGTAAACATGTACAAACATACGTGTTCACCGTAGCAATGAATATTTGTGTAGGGTGTATATATCTATGTACTTGCGTCTGTGTGTAACCGTGTATTTTCTGCTCGTAATTGTGCCGCTGCACCCTTAGCTGTTTGATAGCGTCAGGAATGTAGGTGATTGATGTCCGTAAGTTGAATGGCATTGTCCGGATATTTATGGGGCAGTGACTTTAATTTGTGGCGAATCACGACAGCCATGTAGTCGTGCTGATAAAAACAGACATTTGTGGCTTTTTATAGGGAGAACGCTTGTCAGGCGAAAAGCCATCACGTCCTGAAACACTGCCGCCGAACAATTTACTGGAACGGGTTAAATCCGAAACACCCAGCTGCGACCACGAGAAGGTTGTTTGGTTAACCATCCAAACGAGCATATTTCTCATTTAGCGCAAGGCTGAGTTAAATGTCAACACACATGGTATTTGTATACGTTTGTAGCTGTGTGCTTATCTTTACTTGTTCTTATTTCAGGCAGTGAATGTGACATAAGATAGTGTTCCACTTTGAGGGAAGGGAGTACTGGTAGATTTCGATGTCATTGCAACCCAGGGGTGCTTACATTGTGTGGATTGCTAACAATTCATCTTAAATGTTACCCTGTCCTCTGAAACGGTTCACCATCGCTTTCCTCAATGAGAACAAGATTATGAGTATAGGTTGGGGTAGCTTTCAAGGTTAGTACGAAATACTATCGTACTTCCACCCTACCTGACTGAGTGATCCGTAGCCTATTCAATAAGTTAGCGTATCCGATTAGAACGAAGTAGGGTGCATATTTCACATGCTCCTTAGTGTCGGAAGATGACCGAAAGGATTACGCACTTGCCTATCAGTCCTGAGGTCACCGGTTCGAATCCGTGCAAGTATAAAAGATTTCTCCTCATCCTTAACGCACACGCAGCTGTTGATGGTGGTTGCATGGCGGTGAAGCGTCAGTACGGTGTACTGCTTGTATCCTGCACCTTAGTAGTTGTTGGCATATTTCGAAAGCAGCGCTCTCAGTGGCCACTGCACCTTGTCGGATAAACCAATGCGAACCGAGAGAGGGGTGTATATGAACATCCAAACGGCGGGGCTGTAGACACAGCAGGACTGTCTCATTGAGTATATCACGCCTTTTTATTACGGCGTTGGGTGCCCACCCCTCGGGTCTATGTGGCTGTTGTGGCTACGAGGTGGTGGCGAAACCGAATATATACGGCAAGCTGAAAAGTTCAAGCTGGAAGCGAATGAGTACCTTTCTGTTCTATGATACAAATAAACTCACTAAACTTATCCAGAATTTATCTATGGGTACGCACCAATCAGACCCAGAAGTATGTGCTAGTACTACAGTATATTTTTATTGAATATTGTATCATTACCGTATTATGCGTATGTATATGACTGCAAACCATTGTTATGTAGGGTCGTAATAGTAATGAATTGTACTAGACAGTGAGTACACTAACCCAACTAGAGTGAATATGCTTCAGTTGCATTTCAGAATTCCCGGACGATTGACCGGTGTCCTGGTAACTATACCATGTATCTAGAATGCGAATTAGTTGTCCACTCAAGGCGTTTTATCATACTGGACTAACTTTTGGCTATACTATCGACAATGATCTTTCTACCTCTGGTTACGCCTTGGTAGGGACTTGTCTAATTACCATCCCGTCAATATGTCGTTCGTTTTTGATATTCAGTATGACAGTCTGATTGTTATTTCGACATTTGTCCATTGGTTACCCACATCTACCACAAAACGCACTACTTGTTCGATATCACGTTAGCCATAGGCAGTCCCAAATGGCAGGCATGAACACCGTACCGTTTCGCTTCTATCATTACCATTGTGTTGGACAATTTTTCCCCACAGTGGTTCGGCCCTACGTGTGTCCCGAATGCGGTCGTTCCTTCAGTCAGCGCTGTTCACTAGAGGGTCATCGGAAGAAGATCCACAAAATCCGCTTGGGCTATTCTCGAAACCAGCGACGGGAGGCAGTTCGCGTTTGTGAATGTTGTGGGTTTGCCTGCTGCGACACTGCCCAAATGCTGGCCCACGTCGTCCAACTGCACCCGGACAGTTCCAGCCTACCACGATTGCGACGTCAACTTGTACGACAAGAGGAACGCAAACGTTGCTGCTTACAGTCGACTCGATCGACAACAGAACATAGTGCCATGTTCGATACATTCACGAACACTTGCACCGGCTTTGTGGCCTCTACCAGCTGCAACGACTTGAATGCCGTCACCTCTTCAGGAGTGAAGCCAGAAGCAACCGCGGAGACTCCAAGGACAAAAATCGTAGAGTTCAACCGAATGGAGTACCCATATAGTTTCCATGCGTCTGATACGCCATTGATGTACACCTAGGTCGACATTCAAACACACCCGAAAACACCACGCTTGAGGTGAACTTTGATTGGACGACGTCCCTACACGTCACTCAACCACTGACTCTTGTACATACTTACGCCTACGAATAAACGACCATTCCACATTTTTCTTTCATAACGTGTGACGTTTTCAGAAACGAATTTCAACGCTATGTCAGTAACTTCAAAGCGAAGCTCCAAGTCTGGTTTGTAAGCTATCCTCTTTCTGTGGATGCACTGAGAGGGAGGGATTACGTTCGCGGAGACAAATCTGTTCTTCAGACTTGCTTGAAAGGTCCCGTATATCGCAGAGATGGGTGATTGAATTTGTTTTGCGGTTCGGTAGTGGCCACTCTCAGATACGTTCGTATCCTCGACAATAAATGTCCAGCGGCATTCGCGTATTAAGCAGTGTGATCGAATTTGGAAGTCGAGTTTCGCAGTGTACGCTAAACAGTGGATTCGCTTGACACGTTTTGGTATACCGGTAGATCAAATGAACGAATCAGCTGTTTAGTTATTCACCGAGCTTGGTAGGCGAGATGAACTACTCATGCACTGATGGTCTACTCGGGACCCAGTTAACTGGATGTGTAGTGATATATGAGGATGGGACTTAGTGGGGAACACATAATGTGATATACACGGTCTAGTCGTTTTTTTTTGTTCGTCCAGCTAGACAACCTGATTGCAAAGATTTCGTCACCAATCGAGGCGACATAATCAGTGCAGGTTCATTCCTGGATTTACCTGGTCTCATTTTACGCCACCAATCCGCAGCCAACTCTGCACTGATGATGGCGTCTCGATTAGTGAAGGAACGGTTGCAAGCAGATTGCCTAGCTCGACGAACAAAAAACGACTGAACCGTGTATATCACATTATGTGTTCCTCACTAAGTCCCATCCTCATATATCACTACACATCCAGTTAACTGGGTCCCGAGTAGGCAATCAGTGGATGCGTAGTTCATCTCGCCTACAAGCTCCAAGTAATAGTCTCAGATTCTGAGGAAAACCAGTGCACAACCATACTCGATTGCAGTATAACACTTTGTACCTGTTTATGGGTGTTTGTTTCACAGGAACATCTGTGGATTGAAGTGAAAAACCGATTGATTAATCAGAAGTCTGTGTAAGCGAACGTATGTTTTCGGTAATTCTTCATCAGGCTTATACAATTACATGAAATGCAAGATTTTGTATACAGACCCAACGGGTCGTTAGTCAGCCAAATTGATTCAAGTGCGCTGTGACAAACCGTCGGTTAGGTTACAGTTATAGTCGTACGTGCGTACAGGTCAACTGTAGTCCAATTTGGCCAAGGTAGGTTCAACGCGTGAGTGAACCTTTTCTGAGTGCACAGCGCTGGTTCGTACAGCCGAATGGCGATGGCTTCTGCGGAGTCTAATATCCGCCTACGGAAATACTTTGATCGATTTTCTGGGGCCTGATAGATCAGTTTGAACGAATCAGCCGACTTGGTGGCGTGACCCGTATCCGCAAGATGCGTGGCGATGGCCGAGTTGGTGACTTTTTGGCCTCCTTTTCCGAGTCAGGTCGGATGGTGTTCCTTCACCGTTTCGGATAAGCGTCTTGTCGTACGACCAACGTAGTCTGCTCCACAGGAACGGGTAAAGGAGTAAACACACATTGATTTGGTGTGGACAGGCAGCTTATCCTTGAGGTTTAGTCTCACCATTGGACTGCTGGTGAACCGGATTTGAATCCTGGCCGCTGGGAAGGTGTTCCTGAGTGTGGACGAGAGACGGCGGGATAGATTCCCTGATACTATTTCCCCTTTGTAAGGCAGTTGTAGGAAAATAGGTTTCCGTTCCGCCGTCAGGACCATAGGTGGATTGATAAGGTGCCGCACAGTATAAAAGGCACTAAGTTTAAAGTCCTCCTATCTGCTTATTGAGTGAGTACTATGCATCTGGAGCGAGAGGGTATGGATCTGCGCGGTCTAGTACACATAGGAATAATAAAGAAATTAAATATTATTAATAATGGTAATAACAACGTATAGTCTCGGGTTTAAGAGACACGCCCATTTCGACATGGTCGAATCCTTACAATTATTTCGTACAATGTTTACAGCATACTCCAACTGTCAAGAAAAATAAAAATCGTGTTTCCAACATCCATGTATGTCCAAGTCAAAGCCTTGAACGGGTACAGAACTATGCGTGGCATCCTGACGGAGAGCTCCGTGTACGGACGGCAACAAGTTTTCTTTTCCTTGAATAAAAGATGGGGAGCAACTGTACGGTGATAAGAGAAGCAATAAAGTTGAACTCAGAATTGTAGAGCGTAGCATCTAATTCAGACTAAACAATATCCATACACCTTTTTGTGCAGATTCGTCGCAGTTAAACACAGGCAGACAGCCACCACACATCCAGGAAAGCGCTAGACGGCCGTTTCGTCCTATTGGGACTCGTCAGTAGAGCGCACCCGCCGAACCCTGCCGGATTCGAACCCACGACCTTACTCTTGCGACTCAGCGACTAATGTCACTAAGCCATGGTCGACGGCAGCGGACCGCCATGACTGATATCCATACATTGTGGCTTTCTGAAAAGGAGTTGGGAAAGACGGAGATATTTGCTTATTTTTACTTCATCGGCTGTACCTATGTGCCGCTGCAGATATAATAGGACATTTCGTCGTGGCGTTTGAGCAAGATGTGGTTAGCATTTGTCAACTGGCGTAGGTATTTCGGTATAGCTTTACGCTAGGCGTAAGCGATAAGAGGAAAAAGGAAAACGAACTTTTAAAATAAGGATGAAGGAAGCTGTTGGAAGCAGAATCGACTAACTTCGCCTTACTGCTTGACGTGGTTACATAAGGGCAATAAAGGAAGTATAGACGAGTAAGCGAAGAAAGAATGGTAAGAGGTAGTGAAGATGGATAGATTCAATCAGCGTTTCCTCCTCAGCTCACACCTTTTGGTATGGCTGCAAGGTAGGCGTTGCTGAGTAAGCAGAATATGAAGGAGTGGAGACGAAAATGGTTTTCTCAATCGCAGTTTGCAATTTCTCCGCATTCCACACTTACTGATGTGTCTGTGAGTCAAGCTTTCCCGAGTAAAGAAGGAAAGTGGGTCGGGTGAAGTAGAGTGAAGCTGGTTCTATCAATGTTTTATACTTTTTAATACATCTCTTCAGGACGGCTTGGCCAAGTATATACACCATACGTAGCAAATTTAGCGCAGTTGTAATCAGCACCCATAAGACTCGACCCGCGCCTCAAATAGTATTTGTTAATTGCGGTCTGATGGCGACAATTTTTATGCATTGCACTGTCAGGCATTGAAACTGCTGTTTTAAATACTCGTTGTGATTCACATGCTGTTTTTGCAATAATACTTTAATTCCGCGCGTATTTTCAATCTGCCCCAAGCGTACTATGTCTTGTTTAGGTGCAGTGATTGATTAAATCTCACATCCGCTGGAGGTGTCGCAATTCATTCACACAACAAGTGCTTCACTATGACGTGACTCATTTGGCTTAGGAAAATGAGTTTCAAACCACAACACCAACGTCCTGCTACATCTGGCTGATGAGTGCACGTGACTACGGCACCTGTTAGCGGGTAACACCCAACTCTACTCATCTCGGTACCGATTTCATCTCGACCATCCCTGGAAAACTCTTTCAATATTTCACCAGTCTACGCTCAAAACATAGAAGGTGAGTCGCCGCTTTCAGACCCGATACTACAGGCTTGTATAGGTGTTAGTGTTGGGTATTTGGTGTACGCATGTGCTCAACGGGGAAGAAGTTATCCATGGGTTATTTATCCGGTGGATTATTGTGAGGTCAACTCGAAACTGATTTTCACGTGATAAACTCCGTTACCTGGGGGGCGCTCCTGGTGTCTACATACTGAGCAGATACTGGGTTCCGTCGCAACTAATCGCTGGCCAACAACTAAGAAATTGTGATCACCAGTGATTAAGGATGTATGTAAAGATGTGAGGTTTCTAATAACGCCAGCGCCGCCACGCCAACACTTTTCGGATGATAAAAGTCGTCTACAACTGTGTGGATGGTGTTCCAGTACTTTTAGTTAACCATCCCGATGAACTGCACGTATATCACCAATCCCATCCCGGCCAATTTTTCTTTTTTTATTTCTTATACCTAAGCATTTCATCATCATGGAGTGTAGAAAGTTAGCTTGTAGCCTACAGATATCACAAATGGATGAGTTCTTTGCGAACCATCTTTTTTAGCTGCTTAAATGCATGCGCACGCGTTTGTGAGCGCTAGCAATGTGATTGTTTTAGCAGTGATTGGAAAGGGCTCAAATTCTCTGCGGATTTTCTCATTGTTCATGCGCAGTAAACCATTGGGCTGATATCGAATTCACGCCTATGATCTGCACACCTCGAGAGGGGGGAGATTAAGTCGCATCAGGAATCCGGAGCCCACCCATTTGACAAAACTTTCACGAATTCACTGAACGTGAGCGCTGAAAGTTCAACTCATTAGTCGCCTCTAAATCCAGCAGTTGCGTAAGTAAGCTCCTCGGTGGCACGCCCATCCACACAATAACCTCACATTAGACACCGTTTTGCCTCGCACAACAGTGCGTTGTGCGCATTGGCTGTTCATTTTGTCTGTCGCAGAAGCTGCGTGTCAAGATACAGGGAGACAGTCTTGGGGTTACGCCATATCGAGATCTGCCGTTGGTTTGTACAGAGTGCAGTCCGTTATTCATTCACGGTTCTTCTCTGCCCTTTGATACAGTTTGTCCACAAGCCGCCCCACCGATGTGTTGACCTTCTATTCGTTGTGAATCTGCATTTTATGGAGGCTTATGTTCAAAGGATAGGGAAGTCGGAGTTCACATGCACGGTATTTCGGACACCGGCATCCAACACCGTCAGGAGCTCGTGGTGGTGTGGTGTCCGCTTCTGTGGTGTCTCATCAGTCGAGCTGAGAAGTCAGAGGATTGTTGTTTGGCTGGCCAAAAGAGCTGGACTAGGGGTGTACAAACTATTCCCAAGGAGGGCCACATTTTGTTCAATCTGACATTAAGCTAATAATCAAAA